ATTGATTGATTTATCTACGTTCTTTCTCTGCTTTCGTAATTAGTATAATTAGCAGCGAATAAATAAAACGGGACCAATAGAAATGTTACTTTGCTCATAGCGAGGTAAATGGTGCTAATCTCATGAATCTCGAGAGGAAGAGTGTATTTAAACGTATGGAGGCGCTCGAGCCGCGCCCAAATTAGCGAATGCCCCGCGAACCATCTGGTCAGCCGGAAAGGAGATTAATTTAATTTGCATTTAATCTGTGTGCAATCTTCAGTATGAATATTCAAAGCATTCCCCTCCCTCCATAATGTTTCGCCCGTCCTTTCAAGAACAAAACATACAATCCATTTTGATATTCATCGATGTGTATTGCCGTGTTTCTTGTCGTTCATTCGCCTTTCCTTTCGCCCTGATTTTTTTTATTCATTGTTCGTGACGCATGAGGCGCACTATAAATTCGTATTGCGCGACAGAGAAGTGCAATTTGGGACTGGTCAAAGGTGTGCGATTGCGCGTTGTTTTTGCATAAAAGTCCTCTTTCATCGCAGGTGCACGGTGCCATTATATTCAGTCTTTGTGCGCGCCGATAAAGTCATTGTTGTCGCTCGGAACGATGTAAAACGTTGAAATAACAAATACGTACGGTATAATGAAACGTAAAGTGAAAGGTGGATGTTTCAGCTATCCAATATAATTCTTACCGAAGTTAATTGCAATGCCAATCATCGAAATCAATTTCGCGCAATATACGGAGCGCAAAATATCCGTTAATCTCCGCGAGTGTAATAAGCCACGATAATAAAAGTCCAACGGTAGTTCCGAACGAGCTGCAATTATTCGTGCTCGACACGTGAAAGAAGAAAAAAAAAGCGCGACCGCGCCCATTTTGCAGTTGACTACAACTTCGCGGAGCGAGCAGCGAGGAGAAAAAAAGGACGCGCAACTTTGTCATTCGCTTCCGTATCGGCCGACCATGCCTTCGGGAAAGCTCATCCTCTTAGTGCCACGTTAAATATTCACGAGAATCTCCGTTTAAGCGTTACGAGACTCGTGAATCCCCAGCGAGTTGATACTTCCCCCGAGTTCATCTGGCGACGTCGTCCCTAGGGAAACGTGCCGCCGCCGTTGCCTACACAGCGATCTTAAAACGAGGGCTCGTTAAGATTGCCGCGCTCAAAATCTGTACACTCATTGAAGTTTGAAAGAGTCCTTCAGTTTCATTAAACCGTCGTGAACGCACGATCGTCGAATTTATGATTAAGTCTCGAGAAAGAGGATGTTTGTACTTCGACACTGTACTTTTTAAAATATAAAGATGCAACTCTCTCGGGAAACGTTCTCGGAGTACGTGATCTCAAATTTTTTTTTTTTTGGGGATGGAACATTCTATTCCGATTGCTGGTATAAGATTGAGTAAAATAAATTAGCACTGAAGTAATATTCTTTTCAACTTCTCTTGTTTTGAATTTAATGTCACTTGGATCGATATATCAAACGGGAATAATATTATGCGAGAACGATCACATGTACGAAGCTTATTGTATCTCTTTCGTTTCTTTGACCATTATAAAATTTTATAATTTCATCGCGAACGTTAGAACCACAAGGTCTCATCGAGTTTCTTCGTCGAATTGAGAAGTAATATCCTTCCAATGCTATTTCTTGAAGCTATCAATACTTCGGTCTATCCAATCAGCAGTGCGAACTCCAGTGCGGAAATCAGGCAAGGTCCACAGAGCTGAGTAGCGTGTTCAGTTCCGACAGGCTGCTATCGTAAGTCGAGGGCATCCCGTCAATATATCCGTTAGATATCGACACATCGTCGTATGGCAGCTCCGAATTAGGCCGGAACTGTTCGGGATGAACACCATAATCGTTGTAATCGATATAATCCCCGTTTCGTTTCACCAAAATATCCCACGGTCCGTAGAAACTGTGCTTTCCAACATTTTGCCAGACAGTTCGTCCTGCATTATTAGTGCAAGTGTTTTTTTAGTTGAGACACGAAAGAATTATTTTCTTCTACAGTAACGCGATTTGAAGATATCTTTAATTTTTAACTCAAAAAGCAAAAAGAATTGTCCGATAAATGTCACAATTTTTGAAAACTTCTGTGGAGTGAAGCATCTCATCTTAAAAGTTTTGAACAGTAATTAATAGAATTCTGACTTTTCTTTTGTGGTCTTTTTTTGTTTTGAGATTGAAGAAGAGAGATTGAAGAGTTCCTGATTCTTCAAGATATTGGTTCAGATGTCTAACTCGAAAGTTTGAGACTTACCTAATCCAAAATCACTTGTAGGTGCTGACGTGACTTCGATCATCGCTATTAGAGCGAGAACAAATCGGAAAATGCTGCGGTGTTCCATTGATAATTGATGCTGTGTTACAGCTGTCAGTTTACAACTGACACTGGCTTTTAGTATTTCGCACAATCGTTTATATATACTGTTGCAGTGTACGCAAATACTTAACCGTATTTAGCGAGTAGTGATGTCCTTGTAGTTGTAGCCTTTCGCAGGAACTGATTTAGCTAATTATTATTTATCCGCTTATTGAGACAATCCTCTTAAATCAACTTAAATGGCGAGAATTTTCAAGATCAAAAAAAACTGTAGTTTTCGATATTCGCGAGATGTCTCATTCAAGAAGTTAAACATAAAATGTGAAACAAAGGAATGTAAAGGAATTTGTTCTTGTAGTTTGTATTTTCTAAAAATAAATAAGAAATTCTTTGTATAATTGCTTACACATTTAAGAAGAAAATGGTAGAAAATAATACATAATAAAAACTTCTAAAAATAGATATTATGTACATTATATGTAAAAGTTAGATGCAGCCTATTAATTCGAGTTAGTTTTCTAGAAATTTTCTGGACATTCTTGGATGTCCTAATCGCTTCTCTTTAGCAACTTCTTTTAACCCCAGCCGGCTCTATTAAAAGAAATAAAATTTTTTTTGTAATCTTTGTAGTCTTTGTACTGTTCTGTATTATTATGTTTAACTTTTTTTGTGTTTAACTTAACTCACTTTGTGTCCTCGTTATTTACTAGCTCTGATCATCTTATTAATTAAATGCTTTGCGTATTTGATTTACAAAGAGAGTGCAAAGAGAGATTATTACGAGAATTAAAGTAAAGTATAGAAATTTGCAATTGCCACTAAAAATTAATAAAAGTAAAAATTTTCCACTGATATTTAATAATTTTCTTGGATTTACAAACACGCGAATGCTTAACAGAATTTTATCTTTCTTTAATAATAAATTTTTACGATGATAATTATACGATCATTTTTACGATGTTAATTATATGTTTAAACGACAGAACTGTGTGGAAGATGTATAATCAAAATATACAAAATTAACTTTAATTTTGCTTTTTACCCGACGTTGACGTAAGATACAGTAGACGATCTTCGTTTTCCGTTTAGGGCTTGACCTCCGTTAACAATGTCGTCGTCGCTATCATCGTAGAACGGTCTCCTGTACCAGAACAATGGAAATCCGTAATATGCTGTGTCTCTAGCAGCTAATCCCTCTCGACCGGCTGTAAAATGAAGATTATGACATTAATTATGTAGCATCTAAATGATATTATTATGATGTTACATTAAAAAGAATTCTTTATTTAATTAATTTATTTTAATTTAATTTAATATATATTATTATGTATATATATATATATATATATATATATATATATTATATAATTTAATTAACACACACATACGCATACACACACACACACACACACACACACACACACACA